GAGGATGAGAAACTGGGTGGTTTGAGAATGAGAAACTGGAACATTAAACTTCCTTTAGTGGATCACTCATTCACTCACCAGTTACATGTGTGACAAGACCAGTTTCCATGTAACATTCTTGATCCCTAACGTTCAAGACATCTTTGAAAAGTTGTTTCCTGAATTTTTAGAAACCTGTATACTCAACAAGCTAGTGGCCCATTTTTAAGACTAAACGTGAAGCCCCTTATAAAGTGACATGGTCTTGCCTGGGCTGTGCATCTCTGAATCCATGAACATACTGAAGAAGTGCCAATTATTTTGAAGATGTAGGTTTAACGTGGTTAAAATCAAGCCTTTTACTCTTTCTGTATTATTGTCATCAGGCAGTGCGTGAGATCAACATCTGCCGATGGCTGTGTCATCTGCCGTGTAACTCCTCTCACCTCAGTCACAATTGACACCCTGCCAAGTCTTGTTCCTAGAAGACAGTGAGTCCACAACATCAGTCCAATTTCAAAGAGACTGTCCTGAGGGTTTCAAAAATATGTAGTGAGGAGAGAATCAGATGCCATTGAAAGCAGTTTTTTGAAAGTCAAGTGCATCTGTTTGAATATTCTTTGATGGTGGTATTCGTCATAACTTTTGAAAATTTGTACCTGATCATTTTTGGCATGCGAGTGAGGTCTTTATTGCTAAAATATCACTTTTCTAGAGTACTGTAACACTCCCTCCAGAAGATGAACCTAAACTACAGTGGAATGTCACTATACTGAACATCACTATACACAACATTCGGCTGTACCAAACATCGTCCTTGGCTCCCAATATTTTGTGCACACAACCTACCGAACATTATGCAGTTGCAAAGCAACAGCATGCATCAGAGATCAATCCTGAGGAGTAGCTTCACAACTTTTAGGGTAAACTAAATATCAATTTTGTAAATCAAGATTGAATAAAAACAAAAATAATTAACATTTCTAGAAACGTCAACATAAATCCAGCGAATCATAGTATCACAAGAGGGTGCACTTCAGTTAGACAAGAGGGGGCGCTATTCCGAAAATTTAGTGTGGACCCCATTGTGTTAATTATAGCGGCGTTCCACTATACCTGAATATCAATGAATCCTTGAGTCCTTTGGCAAATTTGATAGAAATAGACAAACTTATGTATTCATATTTTGTTTAGGCTGCATTTGTGCTGAGACTTATCCTCACCAGACCAATACCAACAAATCCAAATGTTAAAATGGTGTTTATTTACTCCATTTCACCTATAGTGATGGTGTGTCGACCCCAGTTACATGAGCTTAATCTGAGTGTGTCTCGC